TATTTCGTGTCATCTATTATTTTACAACTTGTCACGAATTACAAGCTTTGTTCAAAACAAAAATCAGAATTCTACAACGCGACAGAACGCGGAATGAGCATCGGACACTTTTATTGTCACTCAACTGAAAATCAAAAACAAAGCAAACAGGTCACTTTTGGAAGGCTTTACCTCTGATCATTCTGAGAAATACGCACTTCAATATGTTCAAAAGTTATTAGTGATCGCCGATCGTCATAGCTACGCACAAGCGTATATTATATGTATGATGTATCACCTGAGTGTAACCAACTCTCAGTTACTCTTGTAGTATCGGGGTTGCCCGATCTTGAACGAGGACAAATAGAAAAAAGAACAGCGAAAAAAGTTCATACTGTCACCGTCTCTTACAGCTCACTTTCACCAGAGACTGCTGCTCTCGGATGGTTGAAGAAAACGACGCGCGGATTTCATGATTCGTTTAGACTTCTCTCACGTCTCTCTCTGGCTCTCACTTCTGCGTTATGTTTGAGATCGGCTAAACGTGAGCATGGTTTCTTCGGGAAATAGATGTTGAACGGTTTTTTGCCTTTCTTTTTTTCCCAAATTCCGATGTTTTTCTAAGTGTATTTTTCGTTGTTATTCATCAGAAATTAAATTTCCTTTTTTAACTTTTGACGCGCAGGGAATTGCATTAAATAGATTGTCAGTTTGGTTTTGTAGAGCTTTTCGTTAAGTGATGGATATTTTCAAATTTGCGTAACATATTGACATGAGTTTAATCACGAAAGAAAACGATCGATTATTAATTACAGCGATTTTTCTGAGAGAATGAAATATTTTTTGAAGGATGAAAATAAAATATGCAAAATGAAAACTGATTCTAGAATACAAATCGAATATTCAGGAATTAATGAATGATAAGATACAAAAGCCAAGCAACACCAAAGGTACTATTAGCTACTTTTGTTCTCCCCGTAAGATCTATACTTATTTTTCAAGACTAAACAAAGGAAAAAGTGATCGCAACAATAAGAGGAACAGTGTCGAGTGAAGAATAAGAGAGATTCGGAAAAACGGTAACGGATAAAAGTATCAAAAGAGGTAACAAACTAAAGTGGGCTGGTTTTAAGTTGAGCGCGCGCGAGGTAGTTACTCGAGTTTGAAAGAAAACATTACGCGGTAAGAAGCGGAGCGCAAGTTGAATTAAAAGAGCGTCTAATGGAAAGGCGGGAGGGAGGAGGCGATGCCGAAAAGAAAAGAAAAGTGAGAGAGAAGATAAATGAAAGCGGCAGGCATCGGAGAGAAAGGGATGAGCGAAGGATGCGCGGAGAGAAAATTGTTGAGCGGGCGAAGCAGCGAAAGGAGAGAACGGGTTCGCCGAGCTTGCGGAAACTCCGAATGACTGCCGCGCGAGAGAGCGCGCATACAGCTTTTGCGCGAGGATTGCACGAGTGAAGGGAAAGCTGCTTTCTCTCCGATTGCCGGGGAACGAACAATCGGCCATTGTGAGGCTTTCTAATTCGTAGACCGGGCTCGAGCGTATTGCATCCCCAAGATGCAATACGCTCCAAATCGATATCGATTAGCAACAGGTGTTGCGACGTTAAATGTCGGAAGCGGAGCGCGTCACTCGGCCGTAGCCTCGTATCGAACGATGTCAATTTGGCACGAGCGAGGCGTCAAATAACGACCCGATAAACCAGTACGGTTATCGCGCGCGCGGCTCGGTAAACTTGGGCGCGTGCAAGGAAGCCCGACGGCCACTCTCTGCACTGCGTTCGCGACGGCGGCGGCGGCGGCGGCGGCGGCGGCGGCGGCGGCGAAAGGACGGGCGCGCCAGTGCGCGAGATTCGTCGCGCCCGAAAAAGAAGGAGGTCATTAAGTGGCGGGCGGACGGAACGATCGCGCGCGTTCCGCTCAGACTGGCGACCGCACCATAGCTAGGACGCCGCCAGCAGCGCTCGCGCGCACCCACCGAAAACTGGAGTAACGTGCCGCGCGCGCGCGCGTCCCTGAACTGCGGTGTCACGGCGGGGAGGTGACAGTATAATGCGCCAACTGACCTATTTGCGATACCCCCAACGACGCTGCAGATACGCAATTTTCGCGAGGATTTTTCAGCTGTGTGGATCGGCTGGTCGTGCATTCTTTATTAGTGCCAAACGCTAGCGACATGCGTGCCCGAGCTTCAATGCTACTTCTCGATGAGACTCCCGCTGGACGACTTTCTCTTGCTCTCGGCGCCGCGGACTTTACGATTATGGAACGCGGTAAAGCGACAAGTTTATCGGATAGCCTTTTTTCTTGATTTTTTTTTTCTTTTTTTTTTTCTTTTTTGCCTTATGGATATTTACGAGGGTGACGCGTTCAAGTAGTATTTGGTTAATGTTATTTCACGTGTGCGCATACACGAACGGATAATGGATACAAATTGTTTTTTTTTTGTAGTTTGAAACTTGGCTTTTTCGGCAAATAAATGTTTATGGTCCTTGGGGTTCGTCCAGTTAATGAAGGAAATTATGAGGTGTTTTGTTACTGGATTATACGCTTACCGTGAACAAAATATAGTGTCCATTAAGCCTATACGTTTTAATTGAATACCACCTATTACATCAATTTATTTATTGTAATTCATACGTTGGTCGCCGTTGCTTTAGTTCGCTGTCATTCATAAATATGATTTTATTTATTTCACACTTGATTAACGGCGCGTGCGAGATATACGCGAAATGTCAGCTAATAAATCACGACTGAAGGACATGAGGGACGAGTGGACATCTGGGTAAGCCGTTGAAAATAAAAAGTATACAGCGTTGTTGTCGAGAGAGGCCGCGCTTGCCGAATTCCGCAAGCCTTGAGATTTGTGATGGGAAAAGAAAAACCCGCCGTCCCCACATAATTCACTCGTAAATCAAACGGATTCTGCAGCTGCAGAAGAAGCAAGGAATCGTCGGCTATATGTTAATTTTTTCGTTGCAGCACTGCGTGTTCCTGTGCGTGTTTTTGTACAGTAAGTGGGTCAACCGGCTGCTCGAGGCGCATTGTTTTTGTCGATTGTACTGGTGCGGATTATTAAGTCCTCTTTGTTTTGGTTGTTGCGTCATCTACATATATTCTCCGCAGTAAGACGTTCATTCTCTTTTACGAAGCCAGATGAACTGGGTATGATTGAAAAGTTTATTATGGCACATCTTTTTTACGACGGGGAGGTGTATAGGAAGCGATAAGAAGACTGGAAAATTATGACAAAAAGTTTATACTGAATTTTAAGGAGTCGACTCGCGAGCGAGCTTTCATAAAAATTTTATATGTTTTTATGACTGAATATACACTCATGAGTTTTATTGCCTTAAAGATACTAAACGTGTACTGTTTGCTCGAACAACTTTCCAGCAAAAAGATACTATATTAGATTTTTCCGAATGAATGTTTGAAAAATACAACATTGTAATGTAGTTGTTGGTTAATTTTTTTTTCGCGTAAACCTGCACTCATAATATCTTGACATTCAGAAAATGTAAATTATTGCAGTATTTTTCGTGGAAGTCTCTGTTTCTCTAAATTATACCGGTTCTTGCGAGTTTTATTGCCCAAATCACGAAAACAATGGCCAAAAGTAATTCTAAAAGGTGAACCATATAAACGATGAATTTTGATATTTCTCAGAAAAGTTTTGCGTCGAAAATATAGTTGATTTGTCTCAAATTGCCTCGTCTTAAATCTAAAAATATGTCCGCCACTGTTGCGTTAATGATTTACGCAGTGCCGCGAATTGCGCTTTCTTTTTACCAGGTACTTGCAAGTTGTGATAAAATACACACGCAAAGCATTAAGCAGCGTAACCCGAGCGCGGCCGTTCGTTTGCAGCTTTCAAAGCGCACACCTCGAGCGGGCACTTGAAAAATTAAATTAAAACTGCAGGAGGGTGAGAGAAGGAGCGATTTTAATTTTGCATGCGGCAACGATCCTCCCTTGAATAAGTTGGCCGCGCGAAACTTTTCCAACTAATTTCTCAGAAAGTATCGTCGAGAGGCAAGAGGAGGCCAATTCGACGATGCATTATAAATCAGCCGGGCGGAAGCACGCCGTCGTGCGCGTAGTGCTCGCCCTCGAGCCGATACGTAGGCAACTTGCGAGGTGAGTCGCAAGTTCATCTCAACGGAAGCGACCAATTACGCAAGCTTGTCGCGGCTAATGACGGCATAAGTCGGAGCAGGAAAGAGAGAGAGAGAGAGCGAGAGAGAGAAATAGGCCAGTGGCGCGGCGGGCCAATGTAATCGAAAACGATTTGCCCCCGTGGTACACTTGCGGAGAAGATATTCGCCAAGCTTTTCTAAGTGGAACGACGACCGCGCGGGCTCCAAGTTGTCGAGCGACCCTCCGTCGCGCGCACACGCGAATCCCCGACAATATTATGCATTGCGCAGATGTTGCCGCCCTTCTTCTTCTTCTCTCTCTCTCTCTCTCTCTTTCTCCTCGTCGAACACGTTGAAACTTTGATTGCGTTCGAGCTTTTCTCGCTATTTTTTTTAAGGGAGGTGGAGCGTTCACATGTCGCGTCGCTCTTTCTTTATTCCCTCTTTTTCGTGCCATTCGCCACATACATATTCACCACGTGTAATGCAGGTGCGCGTCTATCATTGCTTTGAAGCTGCACGAAACATTCGAGCAGCCATTTCAGACAACAAAAGTAGCGCTTCTGGTGCGGTAATGCTGTTGCACGATGTCTCTCGCGCATTCGGCTAATTAGTCGCAATATACGTGACTGCTACTGCCGCGCACACGTGTCATACGATTGTTCTGTCCCCGCCCTTCCCGAGCTGCGTCTTTGTGTACGCGCACGGAGCGCGCACACAAAGTATTCTCCCATACTTGACGGGCTTCGTTTGAAATTCATGATGCTACACGAAAGCTACCGCGCGGCTCGGACTGGAAATAGAATTACGCTTGTCCCCGTGGAAAAGCCATCGTGAATTATTTTAATATACACAGTGCAGAGGTGAGAGGAATAAAATTACCTGTTTGATAACGTAATAACGTCCTGTGTCCGAGACCAAGACGTCGATTTGTGCGTCTCCTCGTTTAAGTGACAAACGCAATTGATAAGTGCTTATATCTGAAACAGAGCAAAGACAAAATGGTAATGCGTTATTGGTCCGTCAAGTACGTCTAGCAATCGCTAAAATATCGCGGAGCAGTTACGCGAAGGACGTTTTCGGCAGGTGTCTCTTCCTCGATTTCGACAAGAAACTAAGGGAGCACGTCATTTATCTCGACAGCTACTAGGATCTGTGCGCGCGACGTATTTTGTCGGCACACACATCGGAAAACAACGTATGATACTATATATCCCCTTTTCCTTTCTACTTTCTTTTTATATTCAAGCTGCGCCGTATTTCTGTCTCTTTACCTCTTATTCATTCGTATATATGCTTTTGTTTCGGAACAAGCCGCCTACGCGCTTCCACTCTGGATTTTTCCGGACGTTCTTGAATGGACCATCCAGATGGACATCCTTGAGAGTCAAGGATGTAAACGATCTACGATCCGAGCTGCTTTTCTGAGTTTTTCAACGACCAATTTCTATCGTTTCCATTTTTTTTTCTTTTTCCGCAATATTTCTTGCATACTGTCCTTACGGTCTGGTGCTGGATTGAATGGCTGTTAGCTTATGCGAGTGATTGAGAAGAGACAATGGAAATAGTAGAAGTTGTGTTTTGTATAACTATAAGTCGTCTTATTGTAATGCTCGGAAAATGTCTGGTTTCTTTACAAAACAAATTTTAATAAGATACATCCGGTACGTGAAAATTTATTAGAGAAAGACGTGAAGTTTTTTATATTACTAATTAATTCACATTCATTCAAGATATAATTCAAATATCGTATCCAATGGTATTTTAGAAAAGCCCAATGATGCAGGTAGAGAGTAGAGTTAGGAAAATTCGTTTCGACGAGAGTCAGAGAGAGAGAGAGAGAGAGAGAGAGAGAGAGAGAGAGAGAGAGAACGGCAACAAGCAACGAGATCTTTGAGTAATCAAGGCTTTTAATGAAGTTTCCGGACAAGCGAGCGTTTTGCATTTTTTCTCGTACTCTTCTTGCTATGGTTATTTCTCTCATTTCTATATCACTTGAGTGAGCAGAATTTGTTTTCAACGGATATTGCTGTTCGAAATTCCTCGCTTTTTACTTTCACTTTTTTTGTATCATCGTAGGCATCTACGCTTCATTGTTTTCGATTCACGCGGCAAATCCTTGTTGTCGTTTTAGGAGAGTCATACTATTCTCATCAACTTGCGCGTGTATCGTAAACTTTTGAATTTCACAGTAGGTGTTGTATGGTGCAATAGAATCAAATATTGCGTTCGTCTTCCCGATATAATCACTGCGTGCAATTCGAAGAAAAATTGCTCGTTATTTTCAGGTGAGCGGCGTTATTAGAGAAGTAAAGTTACCGCGGCCGTTTTATGCAGGTGGTAGCGACTTTAAGACTCTTTCGTTATTGCGATCGCGTTGAAACATACACGTCGATTAATTAGTTTTCTCCATATTCTTCTTCCTCGTTATTACAACATAAGTCAGCGGAGACTGGAATATCACGTAAAAAGCGAACGCAACGATTAAAACTTTTTTTTTACAAAGTTGAGCGACTGCGATCTGCTGTTAACCGAGATGGAACAAGATAAGAGGAGCTTGGGCTACAGTCTGATGAATGAACTTTCGAGATAGATGTAAATCAATCAAAAATATTGACAGCACCGTCGATTATTTGGAATTCCAATTTCCGTCAAAGTTAAGAAAATATTGATGACCGTCGGAAAGTGTTAAAATATATGGAGGAAAAAATTTATTGGCGACTGCGATCCAGTTGATATAATGAATTCTATTTGCGATATAAAAATATAAAATCAAATCTCATAACCTTCTCTATAAAAAATTTCCAACACATAGAATAAATATTTTGAAAATTTGTTATAATTTCTCTTTTAGTTAGCTAACTGATGTTATTATATAATTCTATTAATATCTGCTTGTTTTTTTGATAAATGCATTCAATTAATTGAAGATCGGTGATGATAAAAGTTGATTTTCAATTAATTTACTGTCATAATCTTTTGAATGGTTCTAGCTTATCAATCAAATAATACGATAGAACGTAATTGATACAGTTTGTGCAGTTTTTTATATCGTGTAAATAGACTATGCAACGAAAAGAAAGAGGAACGAACGAAGTATCATTAACGTAATATGATTAATCTCGGTCACAAAAAGTTGGTTGTAATCTTGGATCGAGTGGTAATAATGAGCGATCCTGTGCCAGAGTTGCAAAGCGGTCGATGAACAGTATGAAGATGGCTCTAAGGATATTTCATACCCACAACCAGTGATAGGTGATTTGAGGTAAGCATTAATTTTCTATCTGTTCTATCAGCCTATTTGTTCCCGTTACCGATGTCAGAGGTTTCTCGCGACATTTTCAAAAGTAACATTTTTATCAATTTTCAAGTTGCACTTGACTTGGACTTATAGGTCGTTCTGGTCCTACGTACTGTGTAATCCGGGTGCATTTTTGGCGGACTAGATAAAACAATAGTGTATTAATCACGGTAGAGGCCCCGGTCCCATAGCTACGTATGAATGCGGACGGATACGGACGCGAATCGCAACTCTAGTAACATCACTAAAAATATCTAGTTCGATTATTTAGTACCAACACTACCGGTAGTGAGCAAAAGTGACTGTTATTTAAATTTGTAGCGCCGAACGTACCACATTTAATGTAACGCCTATCTAACCTTTACATTATTGCAGTCTATAAGATGGCAAATGATAGAGAATTGATAGACTTTCAACTACAATTAGTGGAATTAGGCCTTAATTTTATAGAAGTACTTGAATATATGAGAAGAAGAAAATATATATAAATGATATGTATTAATCATCCCAAAAACTTTTTTTACATTAGCATACTCATCAATAAGCAATATTCATGAGAATTTGAAAAGTAAATTGTAGACCTGACATTTGAACATTAAATGTGGTACGTTCGGCGCTACAGTTTTAAACAACAGTCACTTTTACTCACTACCGGTAGTGTTGGTACTAAATAATCGAACTAGATATTTTTAGTGATGTTACTACAGTTGCGATTCGCGTCCGTATCCGTCCGCATTCATACGTAGCTATGGGACCGGGGTCAGAGAAAGCGACAAGCCCCTAGCACGTATTTGACGCCATCAGCTTCATCTCGCGTGTCATTTTAAACGTGCTCGGAACTTGTCAAAACTTTCCCTCCGTAGGTCAATAATGTATAATTATAAACGTTTTCAAGACGGTTTACAATCGCTTTACAAGTGTATAATTAGATCAAGTATTATTTGTCTTCTCGATATAATTACTGCATGTAATTCGAAGAAAAATTGCTCGTGATTTTCAAGCGAGCGGTATTAATAGACTAGAGTTACCCCGCCAATTTCACACTGGAGATAGTGACTTTAAGTCTCTATTTTATAATCGCGATCGTATTCAAAGGTGCACGTAGATTGATTAGTTTTTTCCTTTTCTTCGTCGTTAAATAAAAGCCAGTGGACGAATGTTCTTTTATAAAGTCGTGCGGCGATGATCTGCTGTTGATCGAGAAAGGATAAGACAATCCTAGCTTACGCTACGGTCCGACAAAAAGAAATTAACAGCGTCGTCGATCATTCTCGATTGATTTTCGTCGATTTAATTTTTGTCAAAGTCGAAAGCATATTAATAACTGTCGAGAAGTGTCAAGGAATAGAGGAATGGCTAAGCAAAATTATTGGCGACGGCCACGCCTTAAATTTCTAATTCGGGAATTTGCGTGGGATATTCCCTGATAGGAGGACCTTGAATTCGAGAGACGCGAGAATATTATTTTGACAAACACGAAACGATTATAATTTGAACACAAACATCATAGAGGCTGAAAATTCGTAAAGATAATAACGCACAAGTGACTGCATACCGAAGCCAAAGTTCATTTAATTCCTGCAAAGATCGATAAACGAGAGGTTATCAAGGCGAAAACCTCCTTTTCAGTCTTCTTATCTCAAAATCGCAGCTTGGCCACCCGTTTGCGATTCTCGAACTGAAAAATGTAATCCTCGTCGCGTTCACAAAGCTTTTTTACGCTCTTAATTTTCGGCTCTGCCCGATACACCGACTGCGATATTATTATGTTGCGTAAAATTTGTAACCGTCCATCTCTATTATGACATTTGTATTAAAATTCTAACCATTTCAAATGGATAATACGCGTATTCACTGATGTTCGATTAATCACATTGTTGTTGTAAAGAAAAAAAATAAAAAGAAAGCGAAAAAGGTAGGCGAGTAGAGAAGCAAGCGTGATGCAAAATGCAACTTTTGCTCATCTTAATTTTGAATGTAGGAGTAAAAACAACGATCAAAGTTCTTTCTCCGCGTAGTTATCCGCGACTTTGACCCGTCGACCGCGGGAGTAGGTCCTCGGATAAGAATCGCTTGCATGACAGCCTGGATAATGAAGCCATTAATAAATCGCATCGTGGTTACGGTCCAAGTTTTTCTTCCTCGGCTTGTATATACGTACAGCCGGGCTCTCTTGCATAGCGGCTGTCTTCGAGCCTTGGTATCCCATTAGTTATCGTTAATTCTTAATTGGGTCGGCAAGTAAGCGAGTCAGAAAGTCATATTTCTGCTTTCTTTGTCCTTCCTCGAGCGCCGAGCCTGCGTTGTCGTATTACGTGACGCATTGTCATTCCGATATACGTCGTAACGAGCAGGTCTCAGCTCTGCCAAACTTCCTCGATCAATTAATTTACTTTTCTTATCGTCAGTCGTCACAATCTTCATAATAAACACGCGATCCCATCTTTTTCGTGAGATTACTACGTGAAAAGAATGTCCGCAATTCGTCGGAATAACGCATCTGCGCGAACTTACTTAACACACGAACGACGTGCGTGTAGCGTGTATCAGTAGCAAATTTTCGGAAGTGCTGAATTATGTAGCGATTAGGGTTATTACGGTTTTTACATAAAAATGAGGCAAGGAAGCTGTTTGGTACAGATAATATGAAAGCTTGCTAAAAGCATGAAAAATGTCAGA